CCCCTTTCCCCACTCACACCACCCTCTCCCCTCGGGCCCCCCCACCCCCCCGTTCCCCCTCTTTTATAGCTCTGCAGCTAGCCCCAGCCCATTTCACAGCAATGTGGCATGCATGGTTCCCACATGGGCCCTCAAGTCCCGGCATTCGGCCAGTTTGGGGCTCTGGACCACGTGTGCCATACTTTTGCACGGGCTGAGGCCTTCATTTCGAGTGTTTTTGAGTTGGCGTCCTGGACTACATCGATGCCTGGTAGGCGGTTTTGGGTTTGTGGGTGAGTGTTTTTGAGTGTTCATTTATTTTCTGGGTATTCATTTTAGATTTCATAGTATGGCATTTTTGTCTGTTCCATTTTTTTTTTTTTTTTTTTTTTTTTTTTTTTTTTTTTTTTTTTTTTTTTTCATTTTTGTATCGTATAAAGAAAAGGGCGACGGCCTTGAGATGTCATCATTGAGCTGACCGCCCCCAGGTAATTCAGAAATATTTGGTTTTGTTCATCTAGTTCCATTATCTGGATTCGAACTGGGGTCTGTATTTCAACAGTTCATGGGTGTACCAACTGAGCTAGGCTCTTTGGACTGCTCCAGGTTTTGTATGGTCTGCGATGTGTGGTTTGGACTTCCGTCATGTCTGCCCTAGTTCATCCCCAGCGGCCATTTCTTAGGCCTGACGCACTTTGGTTTGGGCCAGATCATTTTGTCCTGAGATCCGCTTCCTTGTCTTTTCTAGGGACATCCCTGCTGATGCAGCAGGGAGCCTGGATGTCCAGTATGGACCAGGCAGGCCACGTTTTGGCCAGTTTAGTGGAGTACCTTCTTCCCCCGAATAGAATGTACGGCCATTTCTGCTGCACCTGGACTAAAAGGTGATCCAAATACGGCTGTAATGACCGTACGTTCTATTCAGGGGAATGCGGTAGTCTCTGTGGCCTGCTTCCAGGCCGCCTGATCGACACATGGATCGAACGGCCCTGGCTTCTGGCTGCCTGACGATCCTGTAGGCCCAGCGCTATTTAGCTGGGCTGGCCGTCAGATTCAACATGTAGTTCTCTATGACTACCCGTATATTGTCATAGAGAATTGCCTGGTGAGCCGTAGACAAAAAGGGAGAAAAGGACAAGAATCGGGGGGCTGTGACAGACATTCATCGGAGTTTCAATCAGGAGGCTGCATCCTCTACTGTTTGCAGAGTGTTCTACCCACTGATAGTCTGATACTGTAAATAATAATCCTCCTTAACCCCGGTTGTGGTTGAGCATCAACGACTGCCCCACATCTGATATACCCTGAGGTTGACACCAACCACGGCCTCGAGGGTACCTGTGACGAAAATAAAAACAGACTTACTCACTGACAGCAGATGGAACATACAGAGCTGAGAAAGAGACAGAGTGTGTGTTTGTGTGT